TGGCTTATTGATGTTTATTTTCTAGACTAGAGCCTGGAGGACCAAATGTAGGCTGAATGATTTAAATGCCTATTTCTGATCCAGGCAGTCTCAACTACACATTTTCTGGTTTCAGTAGGCCTTAGTCACTTCTGTAGTTTTTGGTACAGATTCTCACAAAAGCACACAGCATATTTAATCAAAAATCCATGTTCAGGGGATGTGTGAAGTCTGCAAGAGATGATTTTCCAATGGGGAAAAAACCTTTTAATTGATTTAAATGAAGCCCGAATTTTGATTTAAATCTGTGAAATCAAAACATTCAGTTACTACGTATGGAAAGCTGTTCCCCAACAACTTAGAATATAATTTATCCAATACTGACATTGCTTATTTTCTCCACAGTACTACCTAGATCCTCCAGCTAAACTGAAGGAAGCTCTTGATAGATATGGACTGAAAACTGAAGATTTCTTTGTCCTAAAACATGGAGAATCACGAGACATTAATATAAATGATGATGGATTTGAATAAAAATAGAAAAGTCTAATTTCTTATTGACCTCCATCTCAGGATTGATGGAGTTGGGAGTGATACCTTTTTGTAAAATTTTAAACAGGATTTTTAAGATTTCAAATTTTTTGTTTAGTTAACTAATGGTCCCCCCTAAATCCCTGCATACCAGCCTTATAAAATGATAAGTTTTTAACAAATGAATGAAATAACACTGGATGGTATTAATGTAGTGCAGATGATTATAATACCTGTGAATTAAAAAAATTAGTTTTTTTAAAAAAAAATAATTCACAGAAACACCACTATAAGTCACTTTCTGGGAATTAACTATTTAGGCCACTTTCTTGCAGACCGAATAGCACATTGTAGTGCTAATTCCTTTCCCTGTCTAAAAAGTGATTTCTTGTTTCAGTAATGTGGGAGTTACTGTGAAAACAGACATACAAGTCATGCATGTACATGCAGACTTGGTACACACTGACATGGACTCTGTAAGTTCCTGACAGAAAAAGTGGTTTGTATATATAGATTGGCTTCTGCATGTATTTGACTCCAGGCCAGCTGTAGCAGATGAACTTAATATCTCACAAAAATAGACTAGGTTGCATGGGGAGATACGTGGCTGTGGGCTTTGACTCATATGCACATTAGCCCACTCCTCATTGGCTATGTTTAAGACACCACTCATTGTCTGCTGGGTGCAGCTGGAAGTCACAATACTCCACGCACTTTCATTAATCATCTGATCAGCAGGAGCATACACACATCCATGATGTGAGGACATTAGAAAACAGGACTTGACACTTACTTCCTACTAAACATGATGCTACCTGGGTGTTCATAGCAGAGTACTGGGTAGTATTGCTGTCTTGTGTATGAATTAGTAGCAGTTTATTGGAAGTAAGTACCACAGAAATCTGAATATTTTTGATAACTGATTAGGATTACAACTTCCATTTATGGTCCATTATCCCATAAAGCAGGTACACAATTTAATCATGTTGCATGTTTACAGATGAAACCCACATTAATCATTTTATGTTTTCAGTGTGCTTAGGACTACATATTTAATCATGGCCATCTAGCAAATAGGTTGCCGTGGTTTTAACTCTATTTTGTATTAGACTGTAATTAGTATTAAATAGCCCCAAATAAGACAATGACACTAACTGATACAAGTTTTGAGTTGTCACATTGAAGTAAATATGGTTTTGGAACACTGTAGCTTTAGTGTGAACAGTCTTTGAAACATTATCTCCCTTGAATAAATTATTCACCCAGAGGGTGTGTTCTGTGCCTTCATAGATATAGGATTTTTGAGATGGAGTCTTCCAACACGATTGTTGCTAAAAGCACATGTTAAACAAAATACTGATTTTACTGAATGTGTGTACATTTTCATTTGCAAACCTAAAAGCCAAGTTCTGAAATAATCTAATGAAATGTGCCTTTTAAAAGAGTTTAACTACTAAAAATGCCTATTTATTTTACTGCTGGCCAGAATATCTGTACCTTGCATTGTGCTGTCACTGTGAAATTACTCTTTATTGTGGGCCTGAATACTTCTTTTGTTTGAAAATCTCATAGACAAATAGTTTGCACAAGTGAAATAATCAGTTTGTTGTTCTCTGAAATATTTATTCAACTTAGTTTTTGCTCCCTCTCTGCACCGAGATCCTAGAAAAATTGTTTTAGTGGAATGATTTGAAAATGTGTACAGATTGCTAATAGAATGAAAGCATGATATGATTATGAATTTGTTGAGCATTGTAGATCATGGCCAACTGTATCTGTGTTACTATACTAATTTACAGAATAAAGAATTCTTTATTCAAATAGTTGGTTATGTGGTCATTTTGTTACACAATCTTGAACAGTTGTATACATTGGGATTACTAAGCTAATTAAATTTTTTCTAAGAAATCATTTCAACTACATGAATACATTTTAAGCACTGTTGTCCCATCCCCACCCCCCCAGTAATTTCAAATACTTGTTTGTGACTTCCAGTACTTGTTTCTTAAGTTAAAAAAAAGGCTGTTCTACTGAGATGGTGATTTTGCCTTGTAATTTTGCCTTGGTGAAGACAGAAATGTCTTCACCAAGAATTCTTATATCAGTGCAAAAACTATTGTATTTTAGTCTAAGCATCACATCGCCCAGTTTTGTGTTCCCACAAATTATTGTACAGTACTACATTTCTTTCAACTATATAAATATAAATCAGGGAGAATTCTGACATACCAGTAGTTGCAACATCAAGTATTGATTGGGTACACTGGAATTTTATGGCACCTTTACTTTAAATGTTCTCATATCAATGTATTTCATATCAGATACAGGTTGGTAGGACAGTCTTGTATCAGATGCAGGTTGGTAGGACAGTTAAGATTGTACTCCAACATCTTGCTATGTGAAAGATCTTCCTTATTTACATAAGTGTAGAGAGTACCCCCAAACGTATATGGAGCTTCCTGCTCTACTGTGTCTAAAGTGGAAGTGCATTCTCATGCGGTTTGGAATAGGGTTAAAATAGTCTTAAGTTTCAGCTGTCTTGAACACTTAAAACACTGAAGTCTATATATTTTTATATATGTATTTTAGAAAGTGCCCATTAGAATGTGTAGCCATTCTGGCACTTGTACAGAAAAACTACTTACACATTCTTAAAAGTTAAATTCTGTCTGGTAATGTAGCAGAATAAGGGCCCTTACAGACTGTCAGAAATAATGCAGCTTGAGTCCATTTTAACTGCCCTGGATCAGTGCAAGGGAATAATGGGAACTTTAGTTTATTGTGGCACCAGAGCTCTCTGACAGAGAAGGCTCAATGTCTCAGAAAAAACTACAGTTCCCATGATTCCCTAGCACTGAGCCAGGGCAGTTAAAGTGGACTCAAGCTGTATTATTTCTGGCAGTCTATAAAAGCCCTAAGTCTCCCTAGCAGCCAAGCTGACTGAAGTGAGGCAGGTGTACTTTGGACATAAGAGAAGACATTAGAAAAGACAGTAATGTTTCATAAGGAAGAAGGCAGTATTAAAAAGGGAAGACCACATTACATGTTAATACTCAATAAAGGAAGTCCCAGCCCTAAGTATGCAAGATCTTAGCAGGGTAGTTGGAGACCAAGGACCCTGGGGGTCAAGTAGAAGTCGACTGAACAGCAATTAACAACTGTGGTGGGCAACTTGTAGACATCAACATGCTTTTGGTATCTAAATCCCATAATCCTGGACAACTGGTTTGTATTGGGTGGGGTTGACAGTAGTCCAACATCCACTGCTGGATAGCTGCAGGTTGCCCACTCTGATCTAAAGTTCCATATGTATTTCAGTTTGCACATGCCATTCCTTCATGCACTGGTGGTTATGTGATCCAAAAAGGAAAGCATAGTTCTAGGACTACTGTCCCTTACATTACAAGAAATAAGGGAGGCATAAATTCTTGCATTTAGAAATGCCTCCTGCAGTACATAAAGTACTTACCCTTCATAAAGAATTTCCAAAATTTGAAAAGATGATGTCAGCATTGCTGCATTATTAATTCTGCAACTTGTTCTCTGACTTCAGTGTCATTATGATGTAATAAAGATGCCAGTTTTTGAGCACAAAGAGTAGAATTCCCCCATAGAACAGAAAAAACTGAATCTTCATTGTATTCAGAGTGAACAGTACTTTTGTCTTTTTTCATATGCTTTGTCAAGTTTGTGATGAACACCAGGACCCTGAGCAAAACATCTTTGTTTGTACAGCTATCACACAGGGATAATAGAAAAGGTGCCTAGAAGATTAGAATGCAAAGAAATGGCTGGTTAGGGTCACAAAAAGCTTTTTGAAATAGTGGTTTCAGTCACACTGTATAAAGATTATTTTTTGATCAAGAAGTAGAATGGTATTTTCATATAAAAGTGGGCTGCACTTCATGACTCATTTCTTTATGATGAAATACATTGGTTAGCCTTAAAGGTGCCACAATGCTAGTTTTTCCATTGTTATTTAAATACAAAAGCAGACTAAGGTCCAAAACACACTGCAGAAATAATCCAGTTTGAGACCGCTCTAACTGCCTTGGCTCAATGCTAGGAAATTCTGGGAACTGTGGTTTGGTGAAACATTTAGCCTTCTCTGTCAGAGAACTCTAGTGACACAATAAACTACAATTCCCAGGATTCCCTAATGTTAAAGCACTCTCAAACTGGATTATTTCTATATTATTTGGATTATAACCTAATATGGCTATCTCTTCAATAAGGACACATAAACACTTGCAATTTAGCATCTTCTGAGATGCAAACTGAATAATAAGTACACTTCTACAGTGGAAGTTATATACCATATGCAGCCCTTGTTTGTTGTGTGCACGTTCAAGTCATTTTTGACTTATGGCAACCATAAGGTGACTCTATTGTGGGATTGTCATAGAAAGATTTGTTCAGAGAAGCATTGCTTTTGCCTTCCCTTGAGGCTGAGAGCATGTGACTTGCCCAAGATCACCCAGTGGTTTTCATGGCTGAGCAGGGAACTGAACCCTGGCCTCCATAATCACAATCCAACATTCAGACCACTATGCCACACTGGCTCTACGCACTTGGAATTTCATGATAAATATTTCCCTTCAATGATAGTGTTTCAATGAGGCAAGTCCTACTATAATCATTAATATCATTAATATTTTTTAAAAAAACCTCAAATCATCTCTCTACTGTTAAAGATGTACAGAGAAAGCATTCAGTATCTATGTGTAAAGTTTCATGCAAAGCTGGCATTGTAAGTGGTGTCATATCCTGAAGTTATTTCTCTAGAGATTTCTTAGGAAAAAAGTGTACAGGTAGAGTGCATTTCTTTCCTGGTCTCTAATTATTTTCAGCTAATCCCTTAACAGCCTTATGCCAGCCTTCACATTTGAGAACCCTGTATTTTAGGCAACCTCCAACAGTATGTTGAACTAATCCTACCTCTGATTTCTCAACTTTAATTTTTAAAATGTAAAGGTTATTATAATAAAATTCTTCAGGAAGGCATGTGAGAAAAGCAAGTTTTACCTGAGCATTAAGGAGATGTTCTGTCATAGCTGGGTTTGCTGATAAATTCACAAGCAGTTTTAGAACCTGAACCTGTAACACAGGGTTTTTTTCTCCATTATATAGAATTAAACCATATGTAAAGTAAAACATTTAAACTCTGACTTTCAGTAAAATAATAAACTATAAAAAGAGTGGGTTGGATCTAGAGCTGCATGAAGTGGGAAAGAATGCTGGGAGTTACACTCCAGTAACATCTGGTGGGCTGCATAACTCCCATTCCTGGTATAGAGGGAGCTGTTACTATATGGAAAAGCGCTTTCCCAAGTAAGCGAAAAAGTGAAAAAAGTTTTTTTGTTAAATACCTGTATTTGCATATACGTATATAATGAGATATCTGGAAGATGGCACCCAAGTGTAAAAAAAAATAAATTTATTTATGTTTCATGTACACTGTATACACATGGCCTGATGGTAATTTTATACAATATTTTAATAGTTCTTTGCATGAAACAAAGTTTGTGTATAATGAATAATCAGAAAGCAAAGGTGTTACTATTTCAGCCACCATGAAAATAATTCTGGGTTTTGGAATATTTCAGATTTCAGAATTCCAGATAAGGGAAACTCAGTATGTATTAGCAATTTCCCCTTACTATGAACTATAAACTATTACACCCCAGAAGTTCAAATTCAGCAAAACTTACTTCAGAGTAAGCACTCACAGAATAGCCAAATACCTTTTCTGTCAACAGCAAAACACAGCCACAGTATCTTTCTTTGGGGACCTCTGTTTTGTATCTAGACATTTACATCATTTCCCAGAAATACACAGATCAACTTTGCATTCTTAGGGAGCTAAGGTTCCTTACAGTGTTTATTTGGGTGTGGGTGGATCCATAGCCTAGCTAATGTTTTCTATTCACTGTTTTATACTGGACAAAGCAAACTCTTGGCTGTTAATTCATACACTTTAAAAATTACATTCTGGAAGATGAGTCATTAAGTGCCACCTTGTGGTACTGATATATTACTGCTATGAACTAAAAAATATTGGAGGGGATGGAATTGATCTGAAATCATTTCTCATGGATGACTGATAAGTAGTTACTTTCATGCTCTGGTTAGACCATTTGTCTAAGTAGGGCTCAGATGTTCTCTGAGTAGTCTGGTAGCTCTGGAGCTTGGCAGGCAAAATGGCATGTTCTTTCTCCCTTTTGTAGAATTTCCTCCATACCAATACAAGAATATCAGTAGGAAAAACCATAGCATTTTCTGGCCTCAAGTGTAACACTATTGATGCTATCTGTACACATATTATTTATTTTCAAAGTAATTTAAGCATATACAAAGAATTGTGTAAAACAAGGAAAGTAAAATGTTGGAAATGTTCCTTCTAATTTACAAAAGAACAATAAAATACACTACCTGTGTTCTTTCATTTCCTCCTGAAAGCAAATGGAGAAAGTCTGGTATGGAGCTAGTCATCATGTAGTGATAGTTATTAGTAACAGACATATTGGTTAAAAGTCGAAGCCCAGCTAGCTGCAGTTCAGAGTTCAAGGGAGCTAAATAGGTTTCCTCACAGACACTGGTAATATATATCTTGGGGGAGACAAAACAAAACACATAATAATTTCTAACAATGAACAAGATGGTAATGGGAAGTTGAGGAGACCACCTCTTGCCCACCCAAAGGGGGCAATGTGTTACTCATTTTGCAATTGCCATCACATACTATTACACAGCTCAAGATGGGAACGAGGGTGTTGTTTACATTGCATAACATTTCTATTTCGAAAGTGTGTGTGTGTGGGGGGGTGTCTGCCCGCCAACTTCCCATATCCTGCTAACCAGCCCATTAACCTTCCATATTTCCTGTCAATTTATAAAGCTGCTAATGAACACAAACAGCCTAGGCTGCATGGGGGAAGAATCATCCCAATGGGAGGAATAAGAATCTTTTCCAGGCTAGATTTCAGAATCAGTCAAATATAAAAGGCAATGCAAGAGAAAGTGGGCATGGTCAGAACAAATAAAACCAATTACTTATCTAATTCTACTTAGTAATCTAATATATATCTAATATAGCAGATATATTTCCAGGGAACTTCCTAGGAAATTCTCACTGTGGTCAGGAAATGACAACTCATGGGGAAAATATTCAGCATTTTATATTTTCTAACTGGGCGGGTAAGGGGCTAGCATCCAGTGGTATGGGCTATCACACAGGGAAGTACAGTGATCCCTCCACATTCGCTGGGGTTAGGGGTGAAGGACCCCCATGAGTGTGGACAAACCGAATAAAAAACACTATTCTTTTTACCTAAGAGAGCACCTCTCTAGAAATCTCCAGGTCCTCCACTGCAACTCTATGGTCAACTTCTGCCAGAAGTTCATCATAGAATCATGCAGGAGGACCTACAAATGCCTAGAGAAGTGTCTTCTCTAGGAACCTCTATGTCCTCCAGCATAACGCTATGGTCAACTTCCGGCAGGGTTGTACTGGAGGACCTAGAGTTTCCTAGGGAAAACATGTTAATCAAAACTGCAAATAATCAAATCTGCAAAAGTCAAAGCTGCAAATGTGGAGGGTCAACTGTAAAAGAAGGATGCAATCAGTGCCAGGATTTACATGGGGGAAGTGAAAATTGACAAGGAGACCGACAGGTTTAAGGATTTAAATAAGTCTTGGTAGTATGTGAAAAGACATATGTCCATAATATGGCTTCTAGTTATTCCAGACATATTTATTTATTTCATTTTTATACTGCCTTTTTCCTAGGAAGGGACCCAAGGTGGCTCACAAGATAAAAAAAAAAATTAAAATTTTACAGTAAGCATTTAAAAACAATTAAAATCATGCAGCTAAAACAATATAAAATATAAAACATGCAAAGGTTAAAAACATAACTAAAACACACATGCCATATAAAAACCATCCTATCACATTCTAAAACCTATAGGTATTTTGTGTGCATGTTTGCATCAAAGTTAACTTAGCTCAAATCCTTATGTTCAACAAGAAATAACAAGGAAATAAAGGCAGTGGCAAACTTAGATACTGTATTCATTTAACAGGAGCTACACTGAATACTTCTATTTAAAATAATTTAGCAAACAGATTTTTCAGTTTAAGAATCTTTTCAGTTAACATATTTTAAACATACAATCAGATCCTTTCCTTCCAATAAACATTTTGCATGTCCTTAACATACCCAACGCTGCCTACATCTACAGGCCCTACCATGCCACCAAAAGCTCATTTTAGTACTGAACTGATTTACTGATTACCCATAAGAACAGGTATACCACTGAATCTATTTACATCACTATTGTACAGTGTTTAGAAAAGTATCAGAACTCTGACTTAAATTCAACTGCTAGCCTCAGCCAAAAGAATCACTGAATCTACGGCTGAATAGTATCCTTATATAGAGCTCACAGATCCAGCTCAAGTTGGGACTATCAATTTGATTTAGGTAGGCAGGCAGGGAAGGTGGGCATGTTTAGCTTGGTGAATAGAAGACTGAGGTTTGCCATGATTACACTCTTTAAATACCTCAAGGACTGTCACAGAAAGGAGGCAGCAGGCCTGTTCTCTGCTTCTCCAAAGGATACAACCAGTTCTAATAGTTTTAAGTTACAGGAGAGTCGATTTCACTGAACATTAAAAGGAAATTCTTGTCAGCAAGAACCAATTGGCAATGGAACCAATTATCTGGAGACGTGGTGGAGCCTCTGTCTCTGGAAACCTTAAAACAACAAGAACAACGATAGGCTGGAGAGCTACCTGCTGGGAATGCTTTAGCTAGAGATCCTGGACTGAGCAGGCCCGTGAGGCGACTTTCAACTCATAGTTATATATATGTGTGTGTGCGTGTGTTGATGCCAACTTGAGCAAAAGGCAAAAGGCAATTTCATCTTCCATTCACAGTCCATTCATTATCAGAAACCATATTGTAGTGTCTCCCTGTCTTCAAAAGTCAGATATACACTGACCATAGAGGGGGCTTTTTCAGCTGTGGCACACCCTACATTTGTAATGCCCCTCTGAGTACACAGATCATTTATTCACTCAGGTATGCCTGCCTGATACTGCTGTGATGTAAAACTGCTGATATGTTACTACGCCTGGTGGTTTTAACTTGTTTTTATGCTCAGCTGTGTCATTTTTTGTTCCTATTATTTTGGTGTCACATATCACTGCATGGGGTCATCCTGGCAGTTTTAAATGGAAGGGCAGCCTTCAAAATGTCTTTACAATGGTAAGCAAAAGTATCTAGCTCATTACTTACATTAAGAGCATGTCAACACCGGCTACTTAATCTGGGACCAATCTGGAGGATTATGCCATAGACCAACCACAATGGTGACTATATGTACTGGGCCAAATCTGGTGCGATGCCAATATTGTTGTGCACACAGGCCAGCCAGGCTGACATTGCATTGGCCCTGCTGGCCCATCCCCTCTTTTTGGAGCACCACCACTGCTTCCCCGTGGGCAGGAGCTTTGTACAATGCCTGCTCAGCACAACACTTCTGCTGAGAACAGAAA